GACTGCTCCTTGGGGATTTATTTACCCGCGGTTCGTTGTCCTGGCAACTATTTCAGCTGCGGTCTGGTTCTGGTTACCTCTTGAAATTGAAAAGGGTATGCCCTGGACCCAACTAGGGATAAAACCAACTTTAACTATTCAAGTTAAAGATGTACAAATATATGTCATAATTAAGTATATACATGAGATATATATCTTCCTGTTTTATATATTGTGACAAGGGTATTTGAGTCGTTCATTCTGCGAATATTTAAATATTTTTGTTTGTTTTCATTTATTGTACACCGAACGTGGGGTGTATTGCAAATTAAAAATCTCGTAAAAAGCAAACAGAACACGAAACAGTTAAAGCACCAACAAATAAATTCAATTTGGGTCCTTCTTCAACAGTAATGCCAAAAGGTAAACGAAACACCAGAGAAACAGGAAACATTCCTTGTATCTTGTATTCTGGTATCTGGGCTTCCCGAGGTTTTATTTGCGCAAAGGATACTTGTTTTGAGCCAGGACTTCAAGTGAACCCTTTCTGTATGCCGTATGCTAATGCCCAAAAAAAGGTCAAATGTTTGCTTTTGTCTTCGAAGTACGCGCACACTTTCCGCTTTGAAGCGGCGCCAGATAAAGAGGCTCAATTAAAATTGGCTTACGGTTTCCGGGAAGTGTGTAGTCTTAATGGGCCTCCTTCACATGTGAGAGACATCTGTCTAATTTCCAGAGCATCCCCACTCCCTATTCTTTCTACACGCTGAGGTGTCATCTAAGCCCAAGATTGATGTCTCAGCCTCCCCAGCTCCCCGTTCCGCATAATTTACTTTGACGATTTATTGCTGACAAACGGTTGCACGCTAATGCGAATGCTTTGCCGACTTATGTCCTAATTATTTATTTGGCCTCAATATGTGTCGGCCTGAATTCTGTGAAAGCTACCAACTTGGCTTTAAGCCTGAAAGCTGTTTATAGTTTACACTTGACAGCATCCTCTTATTAAATAAGTCATTTGTAAGCCGCCCAAAATGACCATCAAAAGCTAGTGGCTCCTTCGAGGGAATTACGTTCGCATCTTAAAGCGACAGAATTTAATGTTTCAATTAAAGCTGCTCATGAATAGGCAACAGGAATTTAATACCCAAATTGTTTATATCATTTAATATTCATTAAGATGCTTACATCTTTTATGATCTCTGGCTCTCTTTTGGTGCGTGAATATTAACTTCATTTGAATGCTAATTTTCTAATTGAATGTAGTATAAAGACGACACGTATCCTCGGAGAGTGTGGGGAGTGTGTACTTTAAGAGAGCACACACATAAATCTACATAAATTTCCTGGCAACTGACTTTCATATCGACCCTTCCGCATTCACTTTATACATCTCCGGCGGCTGCCACGCTGCGTATACGTAATAAAGCGAGTGACAAACTGGCTGACACTTTTGTCAAGCGTCAAGTTTCCCAAAAGTCGGTGTTTACTTTGTGCCTTTTTAAAAATATACAAACACTGAGGGAAAATAATAAAGTCTCATACCAGATTTATGTAAAATAATGGGTGGAATTAAAGTCAGACACTTTTGTTGAAAAGGTTGAAAGAAAAAAGGTTGGGCAGAACTTTAGATTTTATTCCCAATCCTTTAAGTCCTTGAAATTCAAGTATAATTTCCTTGATTTTAGATTGTTTTCCCTTGTGTTCTCATATTCATAGCAAACTTTACCCACTTGTCATATGCTATAAATCAAGTGGAAGACCAGAAAAGTCTGCCAAAGGCAAGAAAACCATGTCCTTCTTAACTTGCCTCACAATTTGTTAATATATATCATGAGCATGGGGAAAAGTTGTCTTAAATTTTAACATTTAATTTAATCCGATGAGCGACTGGTACAATAGAAAAAGTTCTTGTGCCCTTTTTTGGGATTAAATACACACGAGTTTTTCGATTTCCATTGTGTGGGAGAAAATCCCAGGACGACGTATGCGGCGGAAAGTAAAAGTTCGACATCCTTTGTGTGTTACACTTTCATGTCCACGCGGCTATCAAACTTTTCAGCTCCTCAAAGATATATGTACTATCAATATAAATATTTCGGCATCAAAAGTTCGATGCACGCCATGTCAAAAGCTATATAGGTTGGGAATTCTATTTGATTTCACTTATGCTTTAATTGAATTTTCACTTAAGCAGCCGTAGACACTCGGTAAATATTGCCGCACTCACGCGCTAATGGAAAACTCATTATCCTGGCATCAGCAGGACTCGAGGACGACGAGCGGCGACCAGCCATCTTAGCAATTAGATAGAAAGCGCGCGCGTTTCTGCGTCCTGCAAGTGAGCTTATTGTCAATCGAGTGTGGGTGCTTTTGTGTGGGTGTGCAGGATCTAGGATATATCCTGGGATTGTGGTGCACATCCACTTATATCCCTTAAGTGCCACACAATGGCAACTTTAAAAGGACCAGGCAAGAAGCCAGATGCTTACTGTTGGTAATGCTGTTAGTAATTCCCAGGATTTGAGTTGCGAGTTCTGCAGTTGCAGCAAACATTTCCAGGAATGCAACAATAGGAAAAAGGGAAAGCCTGGGTTATTAGCAGATCTGCATATTAAATTTCCTTCCGGTTTAATCCTGTGCTACTTGCGTGTTGAATTTATTCTCTGGAAGAAATTGTTCCTTTGAATGTAAGGTTTAAGAGTTCGAAAATACATTAAAACCAAGAGTATATAAAAATCAACTTTCCTAATTTGTTTTTTGCCTAAAAAATTCGTAGTAAAAATATGTTAAAAAAATATTTTTTAGCTCATGGTATTTAATTTCATTTAAAATTCCTGGTGTGTTTTAAACATATTTGTGCCTACAAAATTCAAAATATATATATTTAGTTTGCACATCTTTTTTTTGCCCACATTTTTTTGCACAACATTTTTATGAAAAAAAAACCAATCAAGTGCAATTACACAAGCATTCCACGGCTTCTAAATCAATGACCTTCGACCGGACTGCATGCTGGGCCGAAAAATTGTTTTTGCTTCAAAGGCTCAAAGCGCTGTCAGGTGGAAAGATTGCAATTCAAAATATTCATTGTACGGCTACAGGTACCGAAAAATAATGGAAATATAAGGAAAATGTACAATTCGAACGAAGCCTTAACTCTTAATCATTTGTATTTGTGTATGAGTGAGTTCCGGCTACTTGGAAATATGATATTTATTCAACTGACTTTTCTACTGCATTCCGCCACTTAGGGATCCATTAAGCCAGATTTTTGCTGTCCATCTTTTTGTATTTTCCAACCGAGATGTCCAGTTGTTTTCGGAATGTTAGAGGGGCTACTCGAGGGGTATATGTCATAGGAATGTGCGGAATGCTGCTGCCAGCGGCAAATGTCAATATTTGAGCACAAAAGCGACTTTTCACAAATGTAATAACAGTGCCCACTCTGGTGACTCCTCCATGTGGGGGGCTGGAGTTTGTGTAGTATCCATCCATGGTCATGTGTGTGCATACCTTTTGACCCTGTTTCCATGTTCACTCACATCTTTTACAGAGAAACAATAACTTTGTAATAATATTTGCACTATACTCAAAGTCAATTGGAATCAATTTGAATTATATAAATTTTGAGAAAATATAATTTACTATGATTGGAAACATCGATGTTTAGTTAAGTACTTTCAGACACCTTCGTAGAGAGATATTTTAACTGTATTCTTAGCAGTTTAATACCAAGTTGAACAGTTCATATAAAGCTCATCAAAATGTTTATTTATTTTAAATCTTGTTTATAATACATTTAAATACACAATTCTCTGTCAAAATTGGTATATATTTTTTATGGTGCACTCCGAATTAATACGAAATTTCAAAAACATTTTTCCCAGTGTCACATGTGGCGGCATCTGTGCCATTTTACAGTCGTGAAGCTGGACAACAGTTTGCGAATGGCGCTAGGATCCTTTGCCATCACCAGCTGGCGGCCATGAAGCCCTGTGTTCCTGTGTTCCTCTGTGTTTCCTCCTATGTCCCTAAATCGCTCATCAGTTCCCAGGCAGCGAATAGAGAGAGAAGACCAGTGTCATTTGTCACTGCATCTCCACCTGAGGGTTTAATTAACGGGGCCAATTTAGTCGAGTGATTAAGTGCCATTTAATGAGGCTTCTGTCACTTGAAGGACTGATGCTATCAGTGTGTGTTGTCCTTGCATGGATCCTAGTTTTGGTTTATCTCGGAGAAAGGTTTTTAATTAAGGCTCTTAAGTATAATTTGAATATCATTACCCGGCAAGTAAAACCACTTAACCCGTGCCCAATCCCGGACCCTTCTTGGGTTTAGTCAGCATATTCCCCAAAAAGCTAATTAAGTTTTAAAAGTTCATCTTTATCCTGCACTTTGTTGTTTTAGGTTTTTGTTTTTTGTGTACGTCCTGCGGCTGTCTACTCGGGTGAAGCTCAAACATTTGTATAATTATTTCAAAAAGTCTGATGACGACACGAGGGGTCATTTGCTTGAGTGACTGAATAGTTTGGCTCGGCAAGGAGTTCGAGCTTAAACGGAGCTCACATCCTGTTGGCATTGTCAAGCAAGGGAATTTTGTTGAACTTATACAGGTGGACTTTGTTAAGATGAACTTTTCGGTGAATTAATTATGTGGCAGGGGTGTTTAAATCAACAAAAAACTTGGTATGAATAAATTATGATTCTACAAATAATATGTACATGGAAAAAGTATACTTTCTAATTCTGTTCATAGAAACTCAGAATAACGAAGCTCTGCTGCATTTCCCCAATGGTGCCATCATGTATGCCAATCTGTTGTTTGTGCACAGAAAGGCAAAGGGTTTTATCACTTCCTGGTATTTGGCTTTGGAATCCCTTGTCCTTTAGTTGCAGTTTCGTTTCCATGGAGCACGCATACAAATGAAATGTGCTGAGAAAAATAAATAGAAGGATGCATGGCAAATAACATTGTTTCCCTTTGGAAATCTCTTATTTTATTATTCTGCTGTCTTAGGTCAATCAATTTGTAAAAATATCTGAACTCTTGTCTAAATCTCTGCCTTTTTTTTGGGGGGATTTGGGAACAAAAACACGTAACAGGACGAAAGGTTTGGCTTAGTGACGTCCTACACTTGCATCACTGACATGGGCCGGACTGGAGGCCAGAGATATAAAGGGTATTCGAGCTAGCTGCTCTCCATTTGGCTCCGCTGTGTGGCCTAAATGTAGTGGTTCATTTTTAATTGTAAATTATTGTTGGAGACTAATCCTCACCTGTCCGGGACTGCTGCTCCTCCTCCTCGGTGATGGTGGAGAAGTTGGTGAGCCGCTGCGAGGTTATCAGCGGGCTGGCCAGCATTCGCCGACGCTTGCCACTGCCATTGCCATTTCCGCATCCGGTTTCCAGCTGTTGCAGCAGACTCTGTTGCTGCTGCTGGTGCTGCTGCTGTTGCTGTTGCTGCAGTTGCTGTTGCTGCGATTTGGTTAGTTTCTCGGCTGCTGTGAAGACCACAATAGGCTTGGGTTTGGAGGCACATGGTTTACGGGTAATGGTAAGGGCAGGTAAGCATACTTGGGGATGGCACAACACATTCACCGAATACCTACCGACGCCGCTGTGGCCGCCAGCTGGAGCTCCGCGCGCTGCAGACGGAATGTCTGATATTGCGAGATGACGCACAGCAGACAGTAGAGCTGGAAGAAGGTGTGGCATAGGTGTGACCCTCGAGTGTGACTTTTTAGCATTTCACGCAACTCACGTTGAGGCACAGGATGAAAAAATCCATGGTAAAGATGAAACCGACAATCGGATCGAATATGACGCGGCGGGAGAGGGTCAAGTGCACCAGGTGGAAGCACTCGATAAGCAGGTCGCCCAGCATGAACAGGATCCAGGGTATCAGCAGCAGGCGCCTGTTCTGTAAATTCCGCCAAAAAATTGTGGTCGGAAGGGAGTTTATATGTTAGCACACACTCACCTGCTGGAGGCCCAGAATCAACAAAATTGAGGACAACACCATCAGCATCGAGCAAAAGAGAAACAAAACGTTGAATATCACAGTCGCTGCAAGAGGCATAAATCACACGTAATTGAGTCACTTGCCAGGACCTCCCAGGGCAAAAATGAAGGGAAGAAAGGAGCAAGGAGCTTTGGCCTCACCTACAGTCACATCACCCTTCTCCAGCAGACTTTCGCCCATGGGCTGGGCCCGTTGCCCCAGCAGAAATTCCTGCTCCTCGACCAGGTAGAACAAAAACATAAGCGTTGAGAAGCCAAAGTAAACCTGTATATAGAAAAAAGGGAAGTATTTATACACCGGAAAAAAATCTAGATTAAGTGGAAACGATTCCTGGAAAGGTTAAAAGATTAAATTCAACATAAATAATTTGTTACTAATCCTTTGTTGCAAATAAATTATAGGTCTTTACAGATGGATTAAATTTATGCAAAGAATCCTTTTTTGAGTGCACGAAACACACAAGAAAGGATACCCGGAAATTACGCCACATGGTTTTTGGTACAAGAAGCCCTCGAAACGGAGTCCCCCCTTCTCCGAAATCCAGTTCAAGTGAAAATTGAGTGTCGTAATTGCTCAAGGAGAGCTCCTTCCTTCTCGATAATATGTTAGCTTCGAGATATTTTCGTTTAATTTCAATGAGAATCATTATAATTCATGGCTTTTGACAGTTATCAATTAGGGGAATCTAATCTGACAGGCAACAAAGTGGAATAATTTTGTGTATTTTGTGTAACGAGAAACGATATTAATTTGTGGCTGACAGTTGGATTAGTTTTGATTGTTGAGGAAATTTTACGGGCTTCAGTCATTATTTTATTGACCACATCCAGAAAAAGTGGTTATTTGTTAAGAAATTTCTATGATTAAAGACAGGTTGTCTACGTATGCATATTAAAAAAGGGTTTATTATGAATTACATTTCACAGAAACTGTCTTTAATCTTAAAATGTGTTGGATGTTAAATAAATAAGTAACTTTTGTATTACAAATTAATTATATAAAAAGGTTCATACAATATTCTGTATATATTTAACCCCAATCAATATTTCTGTGAAGTAAAACTCGCAGTATTTCAAATGAAATGTTTAAATAAATAAGCAAAAAAACTCTCTTTAACCAATTGTAAAAGTTATATTAATGTGTTGCTCTCTTTTCAATAAATGCCTTAAAATGGATTTAGATTGCTTTTAAATTTGTTTTTTATTTGTGACCAACCTGGGGGCGTTAGCCAAACTAGAAACTTTTGTACTGCTTCTATTAAAAACCAAAAAAGGCAAGCAACTTTTCAGAGTTGTTTGCCGTACCCAAGGGGAATTTCGATATATGCATATGTGTCCCTCGACTTATCTTTTGGCAAATTCATATTCATATTCATGCAGAGGACCTACCAACGTGTAGATGGCACAGGCGAAGCTGCCACTCCGCACGTCCTTCCAGAAGCAACAAGACTCCAGGATGGCCATCTTTCGTTCACTCACGCCTCCTCGCTCCGGATGAACATGGGAGATGAGAGATTTGGGTTATGGAACGGCTGCCGCCACTTTCACTTGACTTTCGGCACTTTCGGCTGGCAAGGATTCAACCACCTTTATCTTAATCCTTGTTTTCCGCCAAACGGCTAATTTGTTTGCTCTAGTTGTTTTTCTTTCCACAAGTTTTTCTATTTGCCACTCCACAGATAGATATCTAGGATATAGCCTTGCTGCTTTCGGTACACAGACACTGACACATTATTCCGCACACAAGACGCGCAGCAGATTTATGACACTGATTTATGTGGCATGACCGGGCGTATTTATGGAGCCCAAAACTATACGATCTTTGATATATGTATATATATATAGACTCACTCCAGCAACGCGAACCGCTGTCATTGAAAGTCGCATCGGGACTGGCACAGACCTCCTCCAAAGGCAACCAGTGCGGTTTCCTTTTCGAAAATACTTCCGAAAATCTTTTATGAATGAAAGTTCGAAAATGGTTGTAAGAGCGGGGAAGTTCAAGGATAACGCATGCGCTTGCAAGGGAAAAAACACTGTAGCAACAGGCGGTTTCGCCGAGACTACTCCATGCATCTTAACTGCGGCAGACCGAATTTTCCTGCAATTAGCCACAAACTGAGTTGGCTTTGCCAATACCACAAATTACTACGGCTCCTCCGGTTTAGTTCTCGATTGGATTTGTGTAAGCTTTTAATTAACGTGCCGAGCATTTGAAATGAGGAAGGAATGGCGTCACGCCGGAAGGGCTTCCTTCTCCTTCCTTCCTTCCTGCGAGTCAATGACAATGCCGATTTTGTGCTCCAGTTGTCGCTATCAAACCGGAAATGAAAACCAAATCCACTGGTATGGAAATTCAACTAGTCATCACAAAGGATAATGCAAGGATTTCCACAAGTCAGAGATGATTAAATGGTGTAATCAAAGGATGTCTGTATGATGTACAGAGGGTAAGGAGGATTTCTAATGCTTATTTTGCGGATAGAAATCGGTTATATATGCATTAGTATTAAAGAGGAAGCCTGTGATTTAATTTTATCAAGTCGCCAGATTTTATATGTCAAATTTGTTAATTTAAAGTTTGTATTTAATATGGCAAATGATAAACCTCGTGGCCGATGGAGTGATAAGCCAAATGATAAAAAGTAAGTTGCTGGCACCCAAATATAAATATATCCTGGAGTAAACCCACCACAACAGGCTCGTTTTTGAAACGGATAAGGTGGATACAACCATTCAGGTTGGGGACTCACTCGAAGATGTCAGAGGAGTCCAAAACAAATCGTCGATTTGGAGACCAAAGCAATTGTCATTCGCAAGGCGCTCCTGGGAACCGTCTGACTACATCGATTTCGATGACCTGCTGCCGATGCTTGGCCAGTTTGGCAAGTTCCAGTGGCGAATGTTTCTGTTCATGATCCCCTTCTGCTACATTACGGCCTTCGTATATCTGGGACAGATATTCATGACCCTGAGTCCCACTGACTTCTACTGCTTCGAGCCAGAGCTGGAGCTGATGACGGACAAGGAGTTGCGCAAGGAGCTCTCGATTCCCCGGGAGAACGATGGCTCCTACAGCCAATGCCGAATGTATAATACCAACTACTCGAGGATCCGGTATGCCAGGAACAAGAGTGCCATGATTGATACATCGCTACCGACGATGCCGTGCAGGCACGGTTATGTGTACAATAAATCGGAGATGCCCTTCTTCACGGCCACCATGGAGTTCGCATGGGTCTGCCAGGATGACAAGTATGCCACCTATGCGCAGATCATATTTTTCGTCGGCTCCATTCTGGGCAGTTTCGCCTACGGATACTTTGCGGACCACTGCGGCAGGGTGGCGGCCTTGGTCAGCAGCTGCAGTCTGGCCATCATTGGTAGCGTAGGCACCGCCTTGTCCAACGGTTTCACAGCGTTTGCTATCTTTAGGTTTATGGTTGGCGCCTCCTGCGATACTTGCTTTACCATGGTGTACATTTTGGGTAAGAAAGTGGGAGAATAACGTATATGATGGTGGGTTATTTCCTGTCCACATTCAGTTCTGGAATACGTTGGCCCCAAGTACCGCACCCTCGTGGCCAACTTGTCCTTTCTGCTGTTCTACTCGCCTTTCACCATGATGATGCCCTGGATAGCACTGGCCTCCAGAACGTGGAGGACATTCTCCATCCTGGCCGGCCTGCCCCTTTTGTTGTCTATGTTATCCTACTGGATCCTGCCAGAGTCTGCACGGTGAGTACTCCTCTAAGTAATGGAAATTATACTTAATTTGTGACCTTCAATCGCAGCTGGCTCGTTTCCGTGGGTGAGGTCGATAAGGCCATGGACATCTTGGAGGAATTAATACGTACAAACAAGAAGCATGTGGAGCCCTGGGTCATGGACTTGTTCCGGAGGTGCTGCCTGCAGTTCTACAAGGAGGAGATGCATGGACGTCAGTTCACGGTGTTCTCAATATTTAAATACCGCCGAATGGCCTGCTTCATGCTCCTATTGATCTCCATCTGGATGGCCATGTCTCTGGTTTACGATGGTCATGTTCGGGCAGCGAGTGTCCTTGACTCGCACAACGTGTTCGTCTTCTTTACCATCGCCTGTGCCACGGAGCTGCCGGGCAATATTGTGGTAATCCTTACCCTGGATCGTTTCGGTCGCCGTTGGTGCTCCTTCGCCTTCACCATGTTAAGCGGCATCTTTAGTTTGGTGGGTGCCCGCATGATGAACGTGGCGCATATGAGGAACTTGGCGCTGGCTGGAAGGTTTTTCGCCAATATGTGCTACAATGTGGGACTCCAGTGGGCGGCAGAGATCCTGCCGACGGTGGTGAGGGCCCAGGGCGTTTCCTTCATCCACACGATGGGTTTTGTGGCCATGATGATGTCGCCCCCGGTGGTTTACCTCTCCCAGGTGTCCTTTTCGCTCATGCTAATCATCCTGGGAGCCCTTGGTATAATGGCCGGAGTACTGACCCTCTTCCTGCCGGAAACCCTCAATCACCAACTACCTCAGACGCTGAGCGAAGGCAATGTCTTTGGAAAGAATCAGCGGATGTGGCATGCGCCGTGCTGTGGTCCAGGAGCGAGGCGATCTACGCGCCGACACGTCTTGAATCAGGGTTCCAGTCTACGAACCTTGTCGCGGGATGAGTTCCGCTCCAACCGGATGCTGCGTCGCACAAGTCCGCAACCCGTAAGCGAAAACACTTCGATGGTGTCCACCAGAAGCGCCGACGAAAAGGAAATTCGAACTTATGAATATAAGTAGAGGCCAGGAAATCAGGACAGAAAGGTCTGTCTTCTTTAAGAAGAATTCAGTGCATCTTTGTGGGTTCCATATTTAAGTTATCTGTAGTCTATAAGGAACTTTGCCATGGATTATAATCTTATAATTAAAACTTCAACCAAACTTCGTAAATAACGCATTTACAGTTTGTTGATAATATAATGCCATTTAAGTTTAATGGAGCGCAGCTTTTCCTTTCCTAGGAACTGCAGGAAATTCTCGCTTCATTCAACAGAAGAGACTATTCCCACTTCGAGTTCAGCGAAAAAGTTACTGCCCTGGCTACCTGGTTCCATGGAATTCTGAATTAGTGTTTCTGGGAACAGACACTCTCGCTAATTATAAGTTTGTTAACCATCAAGACGAATGCGTTAGCTACAGAGAACCAATTCGGGAAACATTTCACAGTTGAGTCCCGGTTCGAACAGACCTATTCCCAAATGTACGGAAAGATTGCCTTAGTGCTGGCCGTGCTTTACATTCTCCTAAATGTTCTGATGCTGCGTTGGGTTTACCAGAAACCAAAGGACCAAAGGACTCCCGATGAGGAGTATATGAGAGCAACGCTGAAAAAACTACTTGTCACTCGCCATGCTGGCAGTCCAGGACATAAAGCAGTTCGAGACTTTCTAGACAAGGAACTAATGCGTTTTGGTTACATCTCCAGTAGGGATGACTTTTTCCACGGCATCAACTACTCCAATGTGGTGGGCTTCCTTAATGACCAAGCGGAGCAGTACCTAGTGCTAACTTGCCACTACGATGGCCCAAGTCCTAGGAAGGGAGGGGAGGACTTTTTAATTTCAGCCACAGATGGAGCTGTTTCCTGTGCCATTCTTCTTACTCTGGCCAAAACGTCCAAGATCTTCGCCAAAGCTTTGGGCCAAAACCTTGGACTGGCTGTGAGTAATAAGGATCAATTTATATTTTAATAATAAAGGTGGTTTCTTTTTAGCTGGTATTCTTTGACGGTCATGAGTCCCTGGCCACTGCACCTGGAAATAAACCACTACTCTATGGATCGAAGAACTTTGTAAATAAGAATATTATATCTTTAGAGAGAATAGTAAGTATAAATAATCACCATGGATTAGTCATTAGTCATTTTGTAGCTTAGTTTTTGACACCAATTTAAGGGACTTTTAAACATGCATCAGTCATCTGTTAACTTATTAGATTTTAGATGATAACTAAGACTTACTTCCCTATCACTATCTTAATCTTGAGTCGATTAGATGGGAGCTTATAAGATAACCTTTATTTTCTATATTTGGATCTATATTTCCCGTCTGTCAATAACTAATAAGTTCTGATATTTTTACAGGCTCTTGTCTTGACTCTCAACCTCATAGGTGCGCCCAATCAAACTTTTCCGAGCTACTCTCAAAACGAGGATAAAAATCATAATCGCATTGCGGAGATAGAACATAAGCTACGTGAATCTGGCCAACTAGTGGACTCCCATATCTTGTTTCAGGAGATGCGATCATATGGGAATGATCTACCCGATGATCATATGCCATTTAAAGAATATGGTAACTATAATATATCCTGTATATTTCCATTGCTTATATTACATCTTATTATATATAATTTTTAAGGTATTCCATTCTTGCACATTGCTCCGGAAAAATATCCAAATGTCCATCAAACCGTAACTGACAAGGTGGAAAATTTACATTGGCCCACCATTCTCAATATGATCAAAATACTACGTCAATTTATTCCTGAATATATGGAATCAATAGACTTTATTAATTACGGTTATTTTGATTTCGACGATGATGTGGATGAACCCACATTACCAAAAGAAGAAACAAATAAATGGTGAATTCCATGGGGATTAGATTAATTAAAATCGGAAATGTTTATTATTTGAATAGTAAAAAATAGTTGTTTACATTATATCAAAGAATTGGCAGTATCAACTTTAAGTTTTTTGAGTTTTCAACCATATTTACTTATTTACTTTTCATATTTTCCGATGAATGTATTCATTCTTTTTTTTCTAATAAAGATATTAAGTCAAATCTCTCACTGTAGCTGGGCACTAATAAAACTGCCTCCACATAAGAGCGAATTAATTAAGGTAATTTTATTATCAGCAATGATTAATCGAGGTCGCATGCCAACAGCCGGCACAGCGCACTTTTCCCCCAACGACCGTTCGTCACTGAAGCTTTACGAGATCTGGACGCTCTCGCAGCATGATCGGAGTCGAAAGATTCTCTCCCATGAGCCGAGGCCCAGAGCTTTCCACATGGTTTTGCCCGCCAAAGAGACAACAACGGAAAGCGAAAACGAAAATAAAAACAACAACGGCCAGCAGCAGCATCGACAAAGCGGTACCGTTGAGATCGATTTTTCAGGCGTCGATCGTGGTTAGTGCGCCACCAAGCTCCAAAGCGTCCAGATGGGTATCGGTTCCAAAATCAGGGCCTGCGTCGGCCTACTCTGCATGCTCCTCCTCCTCCCGCTGACAGCGTCCCAGGCCCAACAGCAGCAGACACCACAAGCTCGAGCGGTAACCATAACCCCCGCTGTGTGCCGCTGACTCACTCGGGAAATCACAGATAGTGTCTTTGTAAACCCGTCGTCTCGTTGTTTACAGGTCGGAGTGACCCAGTGGAGCGACGATGAGGCTCATTTCAACCGTACTCTGGACTCCATTTTGGTGCCACGCGTCGTCGGTAGCCCCGGGCATCAGCAGGTGGGCTCCATAAAGTTTGATTTTAAATATATATTTCGGAATCAAATGACACAATTAAAATTGCGAGCAGGTGCGCGACTACCTGGTCCAATCACTCAATGGCCTTGGCTTCCAGACGGAAGTGGATGAGTTCAAGCAGCGCGTTCCAGTTTTCGGCGAGCTAACGTTCTCCAATGTCGTGGGCACAATCAATCCGCAGGCCCAGAACTTCTTGGCCCTGGCCTGCCACTATGACAGCAAGTATTTCCCCAATGATCCTGCATTCCTGGGCGCCACCGACTCTGCAGTGCCGTGTGCCATACTCTTGAACACCGCCAAGACCTTGAGTGGGTATTTGCAGAAAGAGTTTCGCAATCGCAACGATGTGGGATTAATGGTAAGCTGAGAAGGTTGTTGAACTATAAGTTGCAACAACAATACCCCTTGAAAAATAATTAGTCAAGAAACTTTAACTGGAGAGAATATGACTTAATAATTTCATTATAATTAACCTGAGACACCTTAAATGTTTGCTTACTATTAAGCTTGTGACAAATCTCGAAATCCTTTAAGATTAAGTATAAAGAAGGATCACTCCTTTAATGATGTTACTTTATGTTGACCAGCTTATCTTCTTTGATGGCGAAGAGGCCTTCAAGGACTGGACCGACGCTGATTCCGTTTATGGCTCAAAGCATCTGGCTAAGAAGCTAACTCAAGTGGTTCGTAAAGATCCTGCCAGTCAGTTCCAACAGGCTCCCAGGAATATTGATAGAATAGTGAGTAACTAAAACTCAAAAATCCTCAACATTTATAATAATTGATTCATTTACAGGAAGTGTTGGTGCTGCTGGATCTAATCGGTGCTCGCAATCCAAAGTTCTCAAGCTTTTACGAGAACACCCATGGCCTGCACACCAGTCTGGTGCAGATTGAGAAATCCCTGCGGTCTGCTGGTCAGCTGGAGGGCAATAATAACATGTTCTTAAATCGAGTTAGTGGTGGTCTAGTCGATGATGATCATCGTCCGTTCCTGGAGGAGAGTAAGTTTGGTGTCCCACTGATCCTAGACATCAAATATTAAATGGGGTTATCTTTACAGACGTTCCTATACTGCATTTGGTGGCCACTCCCTTCCCGGATGTATGGCACACACCGCGCGATAATGCAGCCAATCTGCACTGGCCTTCAATAAGGAACTTTAATCGGGTTTTCCGTAAATTTGTGTACCAGTATCTGAAGAGACACACTTCACCCGTCAATTTGCGTTTTTACCGAACATAGTTTTGCGTTTGTCTTATGGCTAAGATTTATTAAGCATAAGTGTAAAGTGTTTTTTCTGTTAATTAAAAAAGGGTGTCCTAAGGCAAGCGTCCAATTACTTCCTAGCGACGTTTGCGGCCGGCTTGGGCCTTCTTGCCGGGAGCCCGCTGGCCTCGATTGCCCTTGGGCTTCTTGCCCACTGCCTTGCGACTACCCTTACCCTTGCCTTTCTTTCTCGATGGTTGGTTCTCAGCCTCTGCCTCGCGTCTGTTGGGATTAATAATTATAATTTAGTTGAGATTCTACAAAAATTCTTGCGGGAAAACTTACGCCAAGCGATCGTCATGCTTTTGCATGGATATCGCCTTGTCCACATCTAGCTTGGGCTTCTTGTTCAGCACGCTCTTGATGAGATCGAGGTTGGCCTCCTTCTCGGGCGTTTGTGTGATATGCGACTGCTTTCGTTTGCCGCCCGGAATCAGCTCCTTGATGCCCAGACCTCGTGCCTCCTTCTCCTTGGGCAGTTTGTTTTGGAATTTACCAACGGAAGCCGTGGAGGACTTGGCCACGGTGACGGCAGTTAGTAGTTGACTGGAGGAGGCCGCCTCTGGACCCAGGTAACCGCTGCGTGGCATATCGACCTTTTTGGCCCGCACAATATTTTTCATTCGCTGGATTTCGTTCTTGGCCACCTTCTCGTTTCTTAAGTCGATCTTCTTCTGGAACATGTCCGTGTTGGGATCCACGTTTTGAGGCACCTCCAGGACCCAATCCTTGGCCTTTTCGGCCTCAGCACGTTTAAAGCCATATGTGGGCACCCATTTCTGCAGAGATTAAAATATATAAGTTTGGGTTTCTAGGAGAGTTTAGGCGTATAAAACTTACATCCATAGTCTCATCGTAGGTCTTCTTCTCCTTCTTCTTCTTGGTGATACCCTTCTCCTTGGCAAACTTCTCCCATTTGGTGAGTGGCCTGGGTCCAGGCACCTTGCGGAGGCGGGGCAGCACTGTCGTTGGTTCCGGGAGCTTGGCCACAATACTCTCGTCCACGCGCTCCGTAGGCAGCTCCCAGATGGCGTTCACTAGCAGCTGAGTGTTATCCCGTGTCAAGGCAGCCAGGTACTCCTCCTTGTTGTCCCTGCAAGTGGCCGCAATCACTATAGCAGTCGCCAGACATCGGGAAAAGCGAACCACTTACCTCAGTTCCCGGTCATCGAAGTCGTTGGGATCTGTGATCAGCAGGGTGCCCACGTCCAGGCGACATTCCAGGTGCTTCTCTACTGTGATGGGCTTGTACTTTTCCAATTCCTTTTGGTGTTTCGCTAAGACTTCCTTGACGACATCCATTTTAGAGGAAAATAAACACCAAATATATTCGATTCGCGTACACGTGCTGACCAGTGTGAACGCATGTCTTGCGTTAAAACACAGCACCGGCTGAAAAATAAAATACCAACCGATAAAGTTTATTTAAAGTCTTGTATTTAAAAAAAAGACAGGAAAAAGAAGAAGAGTTAGAATCTTTTGAATAATTTGTTAGTAAACAAATAAATAAAATAAATTTTAAAAATATTTCAAAATGACATACCAAATGGGTATAAAAACTATTAATAAATCCATACCACATTTATCGATGACTATAGCAGAAGTTATCGCTGAATTGGGCAATAGGCGCGGATTTCAAATGTACCACTAACTGAAAGATGCTATTCAAATAAATTCAATTTTGCACAGTGTTCGTACAAATAAATGTAATATTAACGTAAACTATTTGTATAAATATTTCAAGCTGTACCAAAACTCTTAATACATTTATGCATTTGTTTCTTTTACTTTAGGGTTCCTGCAGCGTAATGTCCACCGTTTCTCCGCTTCTTCCAGAGTTTGTGGAAGATAAGTGCCCTTCGTTTCCGGCAGGCATATTATTGTACCTATTCCGATGACTGAAAAGAATGCGATGATGAACATGGGCAGGGAGTGGTAGTAATTCCCCGTGTAGATAACAAACGGAGAGAGTACTGCTCCCACGTGGCCAATAACATTGATAACAGCCCAGCCCTGGCCACGAACCACAGTTGGTAGGATCTCGACGTCCCACTGCTGAGCCACATTATAGGCAACGGTCACGAAGAACCTGGCGAAGATCGCAGCCACCGCAATCCCCCACTTGACGACCAGAACACCCGTCAAGCAGCTGAAGACACCGCAGAGAAGCAATGAAGAAATCATAAGGGGCTTGCGACCAACTCGATCTACGAGGAGTAGTGGCACTATTCCAGCCGGTATCTCAATCAGTGAGGCCAACGAAAAAGTGATGAAAAGGTTGGTGCCCAATGAGGAGATGATTCTTAAATGAGCATCATATACCAGCAACACCACCGACCAATTCGCGATTAGCATGAGGATAATGGCAGCCCTGCGACAACTCTTAAAGAGATCCAGAAAAGTGTACGTTTTTGCAGATTGTTGGTTGGCGTTGTTTAACTCGAAGCACATTTGCATCTCTAGCCACTCCGCATCGGACAGAGTTTTTCTATTGACTTTTGCCACCTTTTTTAAACCTTTCATACCTCTTTCGACCTTGCCCACCGATAGCAGCCAACTGAAAAAGAGGGTATTAGAATTTATGATTAAATTTCTTTAAAGAAGAACTGCTCTCACCTCGGAGACTCTGGTATCACGACACACAGAATCACCAAAACCGACACAGGTACAGCCATGATTAAGGCAAATTGTCTCCAATCCCTCAGAAAATATGGTATCCATGGGAGAATCGCTGCTGAAAAGGAAAATCCCAGGGCCAGTGCCAGGTTGCTAATAAGCGCGCGGTATTTGATGCCGACGTTTTCCAAGGCTGTAAAGAGAAATGTCAAAGAGAAATTGAAGAAACCCCATAGACTCACTTAATATAAATATAGGATTGAAGCAGTTATCATGGGCCATGCCCACCAGAAATCGGGTAGCGGAAAAAGGCCAAAAGTCCTTGCACAAGGCACTGAGACAGCCGCCGATCAGAGCACAGGAATTGGCCAGGCACAGGGACCAAACGCGTCCGCAATGATCCGAGATATAGCCAAAGCAAAGACAGCCCACAACGGAGCCCATAAAGTATATAATGGAGGTGTAGGTGACCAGCTCCTTGTCATTGCACACCCAGTTGCCCTCAGTGGCGATGGTTTCGTAGGGAACCTCATCTTTGTCGTAGATCCAACCCTTATCGCATTGCTTTCTTGGCCAGCTCTCGTTTGGCTTTGATATGTTCAGCTTGTCCAATTCAAGGGCGACATTGTACCTGGCACACCTCTCGAAATTTCCGGCCTTATCCTTGGGGATTCCCAGCGCAAGCTGCTGTTCCTTGGGCAACGTCTCCAACTCAGGGATGCGGCACCAGTGATTGGCAGGAACGAGGACCATAAATATGTGGCCACAATAGGTGAATCCAAATAGAAAGGCGGCCAGCAACATGATCGTGAGCAGGCGCATTTGATAAACTCCGAATTCCCCGACATACGACAAGAAATCATCATACTTGGAGCAATCCTGACCCGGCATTTGCACTTTTTTAATTGAAAATACAATATTTAAATGCCAATTTTGAACAGTATACCGATAAATCGATATACATATTTATGCCAATAAGAATTAGTGTTGTGTAATGTAAAAGGTAATAACAAAGTGGTATAAAATGGTATTTTTAGTGCCAGAAGGTATATTTTAACCCCTACCATCTGGCCACACTGCAGTTTCCCGCGCTTTTCCCGACCGCAGTAAAAGAAAAAATAAAGTTTCGTGTTTTAAAATCAAATTCTGCAATGGATGCAGACCTGTTGACACTAAAAAAACGTATAACAAACAACTTTAAGCTATGCGGCTTCCTAATCCGCTCAGAGAACAGCTCATACCTGGCTGAGCAGCTGCTCCCCTTCGACAGATCGGAGCGCGACAAATGGCTGACTGTGATCACGCAGAACTTGCAGGGCCAAAAGCTAACGACGCCCCATGTAGAGCGAGTATCGCTGGAAAAGGCCATTAATGAACTGAACCGAGTTGGCTTGGACGAGGGGGAAACAGTGTTTGCCCTGATCGATGCATTCACAGTGCCCCGCTACCGATACAATACACGGGTGAAGAAGTTCGAGTTGGACACTCAGCCGCGCCAGTTGTTGACGGCTCCTCGCATGAAAGCGGAGTACATGCAGCAGCGGTATGCCATGCTGCTGCAAAAGACCCTGCGCCATGACCTGTTCGCCCCCGCTGTCATACAGGATGGTGTGGGGCCGAGGCACAGGTCAAGAAGTTCAAGCTGCAGTTTGCAGAGAACCTGCTGGCAACGTCGGCCATGAAAGAGGCTGTTGTGTTGGGACTGCTTACCCAACTGAAAGAGGGCAAGTTCTATGTGGAAGATCCCACGGGCTGTGTCCAATTGGATCTCAGTGGCGCTCGCTTCCATGCAGGTTTCTTCTGCGAGGGTTGCTTTGTCCTGGCAGAGGGTAACTACAGTAATGGTGTGCTGAAGGGTATGTAGCATTAGGGAATCCCGAATTGTCTTACTGATATTATTTGCTTTTCCAGTTGATGGCTTGGGTTTCCCCCCAGCAGAGCCTGCCACAAGCAGTCGAGCGTTTTTCGGCACAGCCAACACCTGGGGCGGTGAGTCCGCCAAGCTGCTAAAATACTCCCCCGCCTGCAGGAACTTGAGCGCACAAATACGGAAACTACGATAGTTTTCCTATCCGACGTACGCTTAGATCTGCCCGTTGTTATGGACAAGTTGCGCCAGCTCTTTGTCGGCTACGATTCGTGTCCGCCGCAAGCTATTGTGCTGATGGGCCCGTTTACGGCCAGCACCAGAAATCACCACGAGTTGCGACAGCACCTAGATGCCTTGGGTGGCCTAGCAGCCGGTTGCGAGCAGCTAAAGAAGCAAACCGATTTGATACTCGTTCCCTCATCGGAAGATCCCACGGCACCGAATATATTGCCCCGTGCTCCGATCCCCGAGTGCCTGGCAGCGGGACTGCTAAAGGCCTGGCCACGTACACAGTTGGCCACGAATCCATGCCGCTTGCAGTACTGCACTCAGCAGATAGTCGTCTGTCGCCTGGATTTAATGGCCAAGTTTTGCCGTAATACGTTACATTTCCCCGAGGACACATCGCAAATTGAACAGCATTTTGCTCGGACCATTGTGTGTCAGGGTCACCTAGTGCCCATACATCCAATTGCCATGCCAGTGCATTGGGACTATGATCCCGCTCTGTGGCTATATCCGTTGCCCGATCTAATAGTCATGGGAGACTCGTGCCAGAGCTTTAGTAGCAGTCAACATGGATGCACAGTTCTTAATACCGGCTCCTTTGTCAAGTCCAAATTTGCTTTCAAAGTGTACATACCAGCCACGCGAACGGTTGAGGACTCGGAGATACCGGACGATATGGAGTAGTAGTGCTAAAGGTAATCATTATTTCGTAATACTTTTAATATAAATTATAACATACTACGTATCATTGTTTATTATGTTTATATTGGGTTATTTTGGGGAAATCCTCGATGATTTATGTATTTAAGGCGAACTCTTGAAACATATATTTATTTGACAAACGTTTCTTAAGGCTTCTTTTAGGTCTTATTTAGGTATTCACTTTAAGTAATGTTTTCATATAAATATCGAATATAGTTGTTCATTATAACTCCTGAATGTCCGTCTACAGTGATCCCTGGCTATTGAAAGCTGTTTCCGCACCCCTACCCTTTCCGCTAAGTCTTCCACACTCATTGCATACTTTTTGGCATTTACAGTCTAGCTATTTAATGATTTCAATATAAACATGTTTCGGAAGCTTAGGCATCCTCTTCATCCTCGGCTTCACATGTTGCTCGACCAGCAAGAGCGTGTGCCTGTGCCAGCGCCTGTTCCCTTGTGATAAGCGGCCCAGCCTCATCATCGTCCTCGTCAGTCATCATATGCGCACAGCATGTGTTCCACAATCGTCTCCTGGCGCTCCTTGCAATCTGCTTTCTACTGCGAGCGTTGGGTTGTCTATTACTTTTCATGACTTAAAGCCGATTTGGAAAAATATTGTTACTCTGCCGCTGCCGCTGCCCATTTAGGGTCGTGGAAATTCAATTTCCCAGGCCGGCGCGCTCGCTCCTCGGCAGCTGAAACGGCAATTTTGATAATGCGTTTGACCTGAGGACATCGATTGCCCCCATTTTCTGTCACATGACCAGTTGCCGAATCGTTTTTTAAGACATCATTAGCCGGGCTCTGTCACAGTAGATAGGGGGGCGGTTTTCTATGCCTGGCAGGGTTTTTTTTCTCTCCTATTGATTTATGATTTATGAGCGCAACTTAGATATGCCCGGTATACTCACGTCCCTGGGATCAATTTCCAAAATGTGTCCGCCATGAGTGTCAATTCGATTTGGGGGGCGTGGTCAGCACAGAGTGCTAGATATATATGTCTAAGGGTTACCTCATGGAGACATAAATATTTCTATTTTTGAAGAGAAACTTCCAAGGTGTCATAGGAAATACATTTATTCTTTCGGTTTCTTGCAAACTTAAATATTCAGACAAAATATATTTATTTAGGTAGCTTATTTAATATTTTATATGTATTTATTTAAGTTGGTTTATTAATATAACATTTAAATTATACATTAAAGGTACCATCTCTATAGCAATAATTAATATTTAATTATAAGTATACATCTCTTTTATACTATTAAATTCGTTCAAATTAATGTAAGTTAAAAAAATGCAAGTTAAAATAATAATAATATAATAATCTAAAGGCATGGAGATATAAATATTTATATTTTTCAAAGAAAATAACAGAACTTCAAGGGAGTACATTTAAATATTAGACAATATATACTTTATGTATTTAAGTATATTACTTATACAAGGTTTAAATTATAAATTTAAGGTTCCATTTCTGTAGCAATAATAATTATTTAATTATAATTATGCGCATCTTTCTTTTATTACTAAATCCGATTAAGTAGGACTTAAGTAAATTTAAGTTACAGTAATAAACATTCCTAGGCCAACAAATAAGTATTGTTATTATTCTTATTATTTGAAATAATATTCCATTTCGTGTAATATTTTTGTAGCCATTGTTTTTCGTTTTTTCTGTTTTTTTGGTCTGAATCTTCGCCCACAAAGTACTTGTACTCTGTGACAACAATCTTGCTTCTGCTTCATTTAACTCGTACACTGGCAACTTTTGAAATTTAAATATTGTTTTGCGGTTCCTCTCTGTGCAGTTGGCCGCAGCGAGCAGCAATAACATAAAAAACCATTTTATCTGTTATGGTCATCAGTTTTTATGGTGTCCCCGCGACACCATTTAATTTGAAACTGAAGTTTTTGCGTCCTTCCGGACTCTGACTGCTGACTCGATTAAAGCAATCGCTGATGCGGAATCCTTGAAATCTGTGTCTTGGGTCCGTCATCAATCACTCGACCAGCTGCGTCCCCAAGAGTGCGTCCCCGTGCCAAGTCCGAGTCCAATCAAGGATCAAAGACAACTGCCCATGGTGTGGCACCTTTTCTTATCCCCCACTACACTCAGGCACTCACACATGTTGGGCAATCAAACGCAATGCACTCATGTGCATGTCCTGTGGTTATTTGAGAATTGTTAACCCATCTTTTGGCTTTGTTAGCATATCCTTTACAGATTCCTCATTGCCACCAAGTGGCCATATGCCAGGCGTCCCCTGCAAATCCATCCAGTAATCCACGCCTTGGTGGTGTGATTTTTCGCTTTGAAAGGATATATTTGACTCTCTGGGGTGGCTTTAATCGTTTTGTTGTTGAGATACCCTTTCGCAGGGTTTTTAAATGTGGTTGTTTTTTACAGATTGAAATGAATAATGATCTTGGGGATATTGTATATTTGATAGCATATATTTAAGCTTTTTATATACAAGGAATTTAGTCATATTTATTCACGTTCTGAAAGGGGTTTTATTTTTTATAAATCAGCAAGAGCTAAAAATGTAATATTAATTCACAAAGGTATTTAAAAATGTTTAAAAACTAAGATAAACTTAGAATATCAAAAGATTAGCTATCATAAAACATTTAATTATAATTAAAATAGTTAAAGAATATTAAAAGTAGTTAGAAAGAATAATGATGTGTTTAATAAAAATCTATAAATACCTAAAATGTTAAGTATATTACAGCTTAAGTATTGCCTATAAGGATCAAGTTTATATCATCAGGATTATGTTTATATCCTTGAAATATTTGTATTAAAACTGTTAGAACTCACAGCAAAGTTTGACAGGGTAGAGGTTTATAAAGAATACATGTCTTTTCTTTTAGAAACCAATTTATGAATATATAATCTAAAACCCTTAGAGTATTCCTATAGATGTATATAGAACCTTTCTGACGATTATTATTAGCGCATATGGTCAAAGGGTCTGGTTTGGCTTTGTCGCTTTGAAACCACAACGTCAACTGGAAAATCAAAAGCTCGCCTTTGTTTATGAGCCAATTCTTTTGTTTGCAACCATTGATACTTGGAGGGTTTATTAACTTTTTATGGACTCGCAAATGAGTTGCATCCTTATAGCCGCTTCGGATTTTGATAGGGTTATCATCAACATTGTGTGCAGGACAGTAAAGCACGCTTGGAGTG